TTTAATTATTTATTGCGGCAATTCAACATATGTTAATTTGACTTGATTGATTAAACATCCAAAACAATTAAAACGCGACTTGTTGCTTTTAATTGATAAATTTAATTTTGTGTTATTCACATATTTGGTGATTTTGGAGTTGAACTAGTAAATTTCAATATCGACATGAAATTCGTCTAAAATATGATATGCACAAATATTATACTATTTCAAGATATATAACATTATCTTAAATATTAATGTGCCCATGTTTGGCATAAATTAAAATCAAGATTTTAATTAAAGTAAAAAACAACAATTAATTTTAACTACATATTTTTTAGATTCCACAACTTTTTAACCACACAATTCATCAAAATCTACTAAAAATTTGATTTTAATCCCTACCAAATTTGGGCTACATGCAATTCTAAAAATCTCGTCTAGGTGAAGCCTAGACACTGCCTATACTCGAAATTTGGGCAAAACACATCGCTGCACGCCTGGGCCCCTTTTTTGGCCAATTGCTAAATGGCTAAATTTTTTCTCTCATCTCTTTCGTCTTCCGTGACACGCTTTATTAGTTTTTTTTTAAAAAAAAGTCTTTTATTTAACTTTATTTTATTAGTTTTTTATTTTAATAAAACTTTTCATTTGATTTTAATTTCATGTTTTTAAAAGATTTTATCTTTACAATAATAAAAAAAATGACTTTATTCGATAAATAGTTAAATGAGATTTAAGTTACGGTACCTTCTACATTATGTAATTGCTCGTTATTTTGTTGAAATCTTCAAAAGCCTGTATGAAATTCCTACAAATCTATTAAGTGAGACTTTTCTAGTTGAAAATTGAAATTATGAAAAATAGTTTAGTTTTTATATTTTGAAAATTTGAGAATTGTACAATTAATTAATTGTAGAATTTTTAAATAAATATAGTATTTTATAATTTTAGATGCTTGATATGTGTTATTTTAATTATTAAATGATTTTTAAAATAATTAAAAATTAAAAATAATATTAAAAATAAAAAAATTATGCCTAAGTCTCATTTAAATTCGCTTAAACTCGTAAAGCTTGAAATTTCGACTCTACGCTTGATCACAGTTTACGCTTTTTAGAATACCGACTATATGTGAATTTTTGTTTTTTTAGGAATAACAAAATAATATAGATATAATACTTATTTTCAAGCAGTGCTAGAATATTTTTCTAAAATATTGACTTAGATTGTTTCATATTCAAGAGTAATAATATAATATTCTTCTGAAATTTTGTATGGAAAAAATTTACATTCGAAAAAATATTTATTTATTATAAATTGGAATCGTGAAAAAAATATAACCATATCGAATAACTACATCGCTTTGTTATGCAATTCAAAGTTAAGGAAATATTGACCTTTTTTTAGCAGAAAAAAGATTTTTTTTTTATAACTCACTTGACTATAATTTCTTGTCTTTCTTTGATTGAAGGACAAATTATGTTTTCCTACCTCAACTGGATATAGATTTATGAGTAGAAAGATGAATAGATTTTGTTAACTTAATTGACTAGAATTCGTACAGATAACGTATTTTAAACTAAAAAAGAAAAGATAATATTAACAAATATATATATTAAAAGTAGCTATGTAACGGAATTTCTTGTTTTTAACTGAAAAACTAACGGAATTTGTTATTTTAACGGATTATGTAACGAAATTTCTTATTTTAAACAGATAGATGTACCTTCGTTCAGTGTTTTTATCATAACTTTGTATTCCGATATCCGATTGAGGCGATTCAAAATGCGTTGGAAAGCTAACTCATCTGGCTACAATTTTAATTTAGACATCATTCTCCAATTCGATCACTTTCTATGCCAAAAATAGGGCTCAATATGAGACTAAAATATTGGAGCATAACTTTTCAGTTGGAAATTGCTTTGTGATCATCTTTTGACTAAATTTGATTACATTGACGTCTTCCTTTATCCAATTGACTCCGAGCACTCTCAAATCTTCATCGTGAGGTT